GATTTTTTAGCATATTTTTCTCTTTTTTTCTTTTTTTTCTATGATTTATCTAAGTTATTCCTTAGGAGCCCTTGAATAAGCATGAATTTGAGGTGATCTATAGAGCCAAACCATTATAAAATTCTTTAGTCTTATATTCTTTAAACTAGAAATAGTATATGAACCATAAAGGTGAGGAGGAAATCAAGTAACCGAATTACATTATATCCTAAAGACTGAGTTGTCTATGTATTTTGTTTAGTTTAATTCTTAAATTTAACAGCTTAGTTTCCATTTATTAAACTATTCATGTTGATGTATTGTATTGTTAAACTCATGTATTGAGATATTAATGGTAATGTATAGTGTTTTGCCATGTGGCTCCTCATTGATCTATTGACATTGATGTATTACATTATAAACTTAAATACTGAAACTTTGTAGTTGATGTAGCACAGTATCAAGTAACTTCTCATTTACTTAATTATTCTCTATTTTAATATACTATTTACGAAATTTCAGTGACCTGTTTTGGCATTACATGCTTTTAACAGCAATAAACCTCATTTGGGGTTCCAAAAACTCTAAAAGTTTTTTTTGATCTAAATATTCTAAAAGTCTCTAGTCATGGGGTCACAAAGGTTCCTATTATTTGCCTAACATATAATATCCATAGTTATTTTCCATAGTCTATATTTACTTTTTATTTTGAATTACTCCTAACATGGCCACCACAAGCTAAGCTTCTTCATATGGTCGTGAGTGTTGGATATTAAGATCATTTCAATTCATCATTAACATTATTTATTAGATAGTCTTAGGCTCATTAACAAGATAGATATTAAATCCAAAACCATATTGTCAGCTTTCTAGACAGGTTGGCTGAAATAATGGAACATTCTCAACTATATTGACATTAAAGAACTTTTATAAAAAAGTTAATCAAGAAACCAATGACACTATGGTCAAAACAGAAATTCTATGCTTTTAAGGAAGAATTATGTGAGGGCATATGCCTTACTACTATGATACAATCTGAAGAAAATATCTACTCTCACATAAGTACTATAACTTAATTGGCATTCCTCCATACCTAAAAGAATTGAACATGAGGCTCTCATTTTCATCAATTGAAAGAGTAGTGTCAGCATGAGAAATGATGTAATTCTGTCAACCATTGCTTAACTATGCTTCCAATCCAAGGAGAGCCAGGTTATGATCTCTAGCCATGGGGTGATTTTGAATTCTTCAATACCATGGGATCAACTTATGAACTCTTGTGAAATCCTGTAATCCGCCATCTTTTGGGGAGTCTATGCCCTATTTTTTTTTCGATTTGGCTCCTAGGTAAACTTTATTTAACTTTATGTCTGGGACTGTGAAATTATCACTAAAATTGTGGATACACCTCACAATTGAATATATAATCTGGCCTGATTGATAGATTATCTTCTTTATTGGTGAAACTCATGTAGCTTTATCAATGGTCATAGTGTAAATGATGTACTTTTACCTTGAGGTGATAATTTGATAATATCATTGAAAATGAAAATTTCAAAATGCATTATTATTTTGGCCGTGATGTAAAGGAATTTTCACTAAAAAAATCCTCAAACACTTTCGTGTCCATCCTCAAGGAGATTTTTTTTTACTTCCTCTTAATCCCATTGATGTGTTTTTTCATGGCATTATCTACTGAGCATGCTACGCTAATTCAAACACACTAATTGTTTTCACCACCTTTCTATTTCAACCCCTTGATGTTCCATCTTAACCTTAGCTTCAACCCTCATCTTCCACTTCCTTTTAGGGGGTGCCTCTTGCATAATGTATTTCTGGGTTAAACTAGTGAAATTCGAAGGTTATTCAAAGTGTAAATTTCTGGGTTAAACTATGAAAAAGTCTTATTCCACATGGCAACGAACCCCTGTCAGAAAGTGAAGTTTTCACATTTTTATAAGTAGAAAAAAAGAACAATTCAAAAGTGAAAATTGACACTTTAGAAACAACGCTTATAGACATTGGGATGAGAAACTAAAAACCACAAATGCTAGATTGCCAGCAGAAGTTATAGGATGACTCTAAAGAAAGAAAAGTTTCAATAATATGAAAATCATGAAATTTTGGTGTCATGAGGTATAAGATTATACAATGATAAATCTTGAATAATACCTCATATTTCAATTGACTAGTGCTTGAATTTACAATAAGATCTTGAAGGCTATCATGTTCCACTTATTATCTATACAGTTAATGATATTTATCTACTTCTCCATTTGTATAGATCATTTCATTGTCTCATGAAAACTCCTTATGAATTAAGACTATGATCAACTTCGAATAATTTATTTTTTTACTTATGGGATATTAGAAGATATTAGAACGAATAGGTCTCTGTTCGTAGCAGCATTGAAAATATGTATTTTGTAGCATGGGCTTGAATTATGCCTTTCTCAGTTCATGGATTAAAGCTTTTGTTTGGTAGTTCAGTTTTTATCTTTTTACTTTCTTTTTATAATTCATGGGGATAAGGATCATGCGAATGCATATTCTTGTTTTTTATGACATGAGAGTCGGTTCTTATTGTTGATATGTATCTTCTTTGTTGCCACTATCATGAATAAGTTTTTGATGTAATAACACTAGCTTATATGAGCTACTCAAAATTTAACTTTCCTCCTAGTTATACTTGGGGTTTTATGGACACCAAGGAAATTGAGGAAGAAACAACACACTACAATCAGTGTGGCAAGGCAAGGGGACTAGTGTTTGACTGATGTTCAATACAAAAAAAATTATGGAAGCAAAGATACTAATAATTTCCATTGATACAATTATTTTGAAGTACATTATCAATAATCATATAATAAAACACAGTTGATATTGATTTACCCAAAAACTATCAACAAAAATATAATCTCATCAATACATTTCTAGATCCAAGGACCAATGTAATTTACAATGCTTCATGTGAGCCATGTTGGCACTAGACAAAAGCATTAAGGTGATACAAATAGTTAGACACTTTGGCTGTATTGTTAGTTATGCATGGCTTTACATTCTCACAGAAAGGAAAGAAAACTGCAGCTAGTCTTTTCCTTGGAGGCTTCAATGCTATTGACGCTAGCACAACCTTAATGCCAAGAAACGAACATAGGTAACAACTTGAATACACTGGTTTAAATGAAGTTGATAATTTCTAGTTTCTATATCTTTACAAAATTCGGGCTTTCTTCTTTCAAAGCTTTCTACTCAATGATCTAGTAGCAGCCACCTGAAACTAATGGGATGGTTGAGGTTTTGTGGCCCCTATCTTAGGGTACTAGCTAATCACTTAGCCTGCTGTCTCCTTTCACAAATACAACCGTGATGAAGTTACCTAACAATCTTTTGTTGTGAGCAAAAGGAACGCTATGATTTGTTCAAAAGTCATCGATGTCATTTCTAAAGATTTTTAGGGTGTACTCTTTTCCATCTTCATAATTTGTCATGGGGACTGATTATCAAGTATCAAAATAATTAGACCCTTCGGTTTTCAAAGAAAAGAAATCAAATGATACATATTCATGCAAATTATCAATACACAATTGAAAATAATTTTCTATGTTTAAGCCTAGAAAAATATACCATTCAAGCATATTCTCAAAGCTTTTGTAAACATCCATAAATAGAAGATTTTAAGGATAATGATTCTGATTGTAACACAAATTCCATAAGTAGACATTATGGAAATTAAATGTGTTATATTGGAGTAGACTGACCGAAATCAAGATATAGGTATTTACATCTTGTTTCTATTAGTTTGCCTTTGTTAAGCCTTTATTTACCCTGCATTGCTAGAGCCTAAGATATCAACGATTGAGTGACTCAAAGAATTCACAGATTGCTTCGCATGGGACTATCACAAGATGCCGGGGTTAGATCGATCTTTTGTCGAACATCGGCTACCTAGGATATAAGCCCTACAAGCAACCGCCAAGAAGGATTCAGTCCATATAATAAGGTCTTCTTAAAAACACACTATAACCACAGGTAGAACCATTCCTGATGTAGAATTAAGTAAACAAGAAGAACATGGATTTATCGATCATAATCAGTTTTATTTCAGATATTAAACTATGTGAATTGCAGTGGTTAAGAAGTCATGACTAAGAGTGAATCGAAAACTAGAACCTGACAATCTTTGGCTGAGCGACATTCTCTGTTTCTCTGATGCCCTTCATACCATCGAAAGTTCTCACTAGCGCAGGAGCAACATGGCGACTGAAAATCGGTCATCAGTTGGGTCGTTCTTTGAACCGCAGTTTCAGCATTTCTTCTCTTTTTTAAAACGTTTCCAAAAGGCCGGGCCCTGTCGTCTCATCGCCAGCATAAAACCAAACTACCATTCATCACTCGTCTCTTTCAAGACCCAAATGGTGGCATCACATCTTTACCCCGGGAGTTATTCCTGACTTTTTCAACCGTGTGCCCTTATCAATGCCCAAGGATACTTTCTCAACCGTGCGGTCGTCGGTAAAATGATGGACAAAATCCGAAGGTTGGATTCTGTTGTGGGTCTTGAATCTGGACCGTCAAACCATGGTTGTCAGTCAATGGCAGGCTTCGATCTGTCCGGTCTCTCCCACATGCTACGTCCATCGCTTCCATGCATGCCATGCATGCCATGCTGACTCTAATAAATAGAACGATATTAGTCCATAAAACCACTAGGGCGATTCAGCCATTTAGAAAGTGACTGAGTGAGTGAGTGAGTGAGTGAGTGAGAGAGAGAGAGAGAGAGAGAGAGAGAGAGAGGGGGAGGGAGGGAGAAGTTAAAGAGGTTTAAGGATTTTCCAACTGTTGCCACCTAAAAGCTCTTTCCCCGACGAAACGACGCCCCCGTCTGTCCGTTCCTTCACCAAATGGCGCCGCCACTAACATAAATTAGGATCTCTCCTAAAACTCTTGCCTCACCCTTCGGAACTTCGAGAAGAGCCAGCCAATCCTCTTCCTTAACGTCGATCTCCTCCTCCACTGATATGGCCTTTGCTATCACCCATGACCTTCTACGATTCCACCGGACTGAGGGCGAGGTTTTTCAGAGGGTGAAGCTCATGGAGAGGGAAAATATCGAGGCCAGGAACGTCGTTGCCCTGTGGATGTGGCTCGAATCGATGGGGTTCCCCAACATGGTCCACCGCGCGAAGAACGCCTCCGCCGACGTCTTCCGGCGTTTATTATTCGAGGCGGAGGCCATCCTCGACTGCCTTCGCCAAGGGAACCCCCGTCCCTCTCAAAACCCAACTGCCATTTCCCTAACGGCGGAGGGAATAAGGGATCCCATCACACTCCGGTTCTTTTACGCCAATCGTGATGTTGCGATAAGGAGCATCGTAGCAGTCCTTGACGGCGTGGGTAGGGTCATCTTTAACGATGATCTCGTCAAGGCAGCTAGAGATAGCGACGCTGGGCATAAGTTGGAGCCGAGTTTGGCAGCGGCCCTAAGGACTCCTTACGTTCACATGATGGAGCCGACGCACCAGGACTATCGCTCCATGCTGGTCACCTTTTCCCCTGGCCGCCGTCCTAATGCCGAAGCAATTACTAACTACTTCGTGGGGTACTTGAACCCAAAGCCTGGACGGATATCCTGAAAGAGATTAAGCGTTTTTTTTCTATTCTTGTTCTTGTATTTTAACCGCTGATCGTTTCTCTACTGTTCTGCAGGAGGTGGGGGATCTGTCTCGAGAGCGTGGATCTTGACTTGGACCCGGGCCTAGGGCAGCGGCAGGGCCCCGTGCCAACCTACGGCCGAGTTGTCTTCACAACCCCCTCATATCTCCCCTTACTGCTGAATGGTGAGCATTATTCAGAGTTTAATCTAGACGGGATGGTGATGTGGGGGCGGAGGAACATACACTGGTACCACAGCGTCAATGGCTAGGAATAATCCTTTTCACTTTGAAGAAGAAGAATGCGCCTTTATCGAGGATTGGGCAAACAGATATTTTTATCTGCTATTGTTGCTTCATGATTCTAACGACTTGGTAGGTCAATTCGATGTGGACATGGTGTCACCCTTGTCTATGATATTTAATCAAATAGTTGAAGCCTTCAGTGTCAACACACTATCCTTGCTTCCAAGGGAAATAATGTTTGGTTCTCTCTCTCTCTCTCTCTCTCTCTCTCACACACACACACACACACACACACTTACTTTCTCTCTCTCTCTCACTCACTCACTCACTCACTCACTCACACACACAACTTTGATCTCTACATTAAATGGCTATGATAATCATTATTCAATAATATATTTTAATTTTAAAAGCCCTATCTCTATCATAAAGCTGTTCTAAGAACTAAAAATCAGATTTCAAATTTCATATTATAAGTTAAATATATTAGGTAAATTGTGTATCTATTACAAAAAAGTCAGAATACTTAAATTCATGTTCAGCTGTATAATTAAAACAAACAGACGATTATAAATCCATTTGAAAATATAATCAAAACTTTAATAAAAAATATTACTATTTTTAAATTATTTATGATTTTCCATCTCCAAAACAAGGGAGATTTTTGGAGTGTTAATTAACTTATATATTTTGAGAATGACAAAAGGTAATAAGATAAATAAATGGATTGAATTATGCACTCATCCAATGCACATTAAATACATTTTACAAGTACTAAAATTAGAATGGAATTGATTAAGTAAAAATATATAAATCATATAAATTAATGATATTAAATTCTGAAATGGCAACTCAAGGGATGCACTTGTGTCCCATGGTTCGAATTTAGTATTTAGATGAATTTAATATAACAAAGTTTTCCTTTCTATTAAGGTGAGAAAATTCTAATATTTACATAAATTACTATGAATAGAAGTAATGACTGGTTAATAATTTGAAATAATTACTTCTTTCCATGATTATTATTGAATGAATCAATCTAATTTTAACTATTTGAACAAATTTCCATGTTTTTATTTTTCATTGAATATGAACTCTTCTTTCAAGTAGATCTTATCTTTGATTTATGAGCACTCTAAGTTTTTATGTTCCACTTAATAAAACACATGGGGGTTTTATAGTACTTGATTCATTACCTACATCTACTCTCCAAGAATAAATCACATTCTATGGCTCTACTAAGTATGATCTTCTGATCATAGATCACTAATTATCAAGCTCAAATCTCATAGAATTTCACTCAAAGATTCCATTCTAGATTCACTGCTCTAGGAGGCTAAATTGTTATTAATAGAGATAACTTTTTCTCATGATCAAAGAAGTGTAGTATCACATTTTTTTCTAGTACTAGTATGAAGGATAATGTGAAAAGTCCTTGATTTATTTTTATGCCTATATTTTGTTCAACTAAAGAGCACCAATATGTTTCCTTGTGCTTTTTTATTTAACCTCATATCAAGTATTTGACTTTAAAGTAAAGGAAATAGCTAGGTTCACTCTCCATGGTATGTGCTTCAAGCATGATAGTAACTGATTCTCAAGACATTTTTATAGTACTCTTCTCAAAGGTCCTTAATAGCAACTCCTAGGGCAGCGGATAATATTTAATTTGTTTTTAGATGATTGATTGATGCGATCGAACCTCTATTCTTCTAATTAAAGCTAAAATTTTCATCTATCATTTATTCACATTTAGGGCTTCTTTTCTTACATAAGTTCTACATCATAAGAAAATATTGTAAAAACTTGAGGGTATTTTGGGATAGTCATTTACTCATATAATGGGTCTTAGAGGTGAATGGAAATTGAGGCAGTTTCTACTGTTCTACCATCTATCCTCTATAATAGAGTTTTTTTACTCTATTTTCTACATGATCAAGCTTAGGTAACCCTACCACTACTACCACCACCATTGGCATACCTTTATTCCATGTCTCTTGTCTATGGGAATTGATAAGTCTTCATTATCATGAGTTAATAATTAGTAAATAATATAGTTTTAGCCTTAACTCGTGATAAATAGACTTATATTTGTGTTAAAGTGTGAAAAGTGGTTTTTAGTTGATTAATATGATTTTTTGGGTAATTATATGATTTTATATAAATTTATATGATTTTTACAGTCTTACTTTTGAGATAAATAAAGAAAAAGAAATAAAACTAAAATATTCCAAAATGGGGGGGACCCGCAGGGCCCGCAAGCGGGTTGGAAGCTCAGTCGAGGAGTAGTCGTGAGCAGGGGCTCGAGCGGCTTGGACCGATAGGGGCACGTGTGCGCCACTCCCCTTCCACGTCACCGGTGGCCAGCAAGCTGTGGGGCAAGGAGTGGTCGTACACGTGAGAGAAGGAACTTTGCTTACAAATGTAACATTACTATATATTCGCCCGAAAAATCGACGCACAACCGATGTGGGACTAAACCCGCGTCACACCTTTCTCAGAAGAGGTGGACAACCGGCGCGGGTTCGAATCCTCCTAGAGTCAAAATTCATATATTTTTATCTAATTATCACGACTTTCCTACAGATCGCCGGTGAAGGATTAAGCAACGAGAATTGCTAGATCATCAGCGAAAATCTCGTCAACACGATTCGCAGAGCATTGCTACTAAAATTGTTGAATGATTCACGATAAAAAGATCGCAAATCCATCGAGTAAATCATCTCCGATTGATCGACGAACAAGTCGTCGTCGGGAAGAGGACGATTTGCCGGAAGATGAGTCGCCACCTCTTGAGAGCATACCAGATGCGATGAAGAGCTTCCTCTTCCTGCGCGGACCTGAGGATGAAGCTCCCTGACACGCGCCCCACCTCCATCCAGCTCCTCTCCGTTGGGTGACAGCTGCCGGAGAGCCGCAAAGTCGCCGTTTTTCCGCTCCGCCGGGTGACAACCGCCGAAGACGACTCAACGACCCATTTCATTAATCTCTAGACTTCGCGAGAAGATCTAGAGATTGTCTACGCCGTCTTTGTCCAAGGAGAGCCTTTGAGGCCGTGGACACTGCACGACGATCCTCCCGAACGCTCAGGATTCCGGTGCATCGCCGACGCATCGCCGTCGCGACGCTAGAACTCTGTTTTCCTACTTTCAACTTAATTTCCATTTCATTTAGTGATAATTTCTTGATTTTAAATTTACCAACATATACTTCATTTCATTACGATTCTTCCGTCTTTTACAGATCTTAATTTGATCAATTAAATCGTCTGTAATCGCTTACGTAAGAATCGCCGGACAGAACTCTGTTTCTGCCCGATTCGCATTCGCCGAGCGCTAACGTCATTCTGACGCCCGCACCCTTATTTCCTTTTTTCGTGAATTTTAAATATATTTCCTTTTCATTTTTTAGTATAAAATTCATATAAAATAGTGTTCTCTGAGGAAAATTCTGAATAATTACCAGATATTATATTACATCCCTATGATTGACCTCTATTTTTGAAAGTTTTATTGAATTATAATTGATATATTTGTTCAGAAATACTTCTAAATATCTGAAAATTCGTATTTTCTAGTTTTATAAATTTTATATTTGCATGATTTAATATACAACGACTAAGTCACGTCAAATTTTGGCACTATTGTGGGGGATGTATTGCACAATATTTAGTGTTTTTCTATTTTTCTCTTAGAGTACACAAAAAAAAATTTAACTCTTGTTTTATTTTCTTTTTGCCCATTTTTTTTAGAAAAAGGGAACGAAAAGAAGCAAGGCAAGGACTAGAGCATCCTGAAGGAGGGTAACAATTACTAAATTTTTCCCTCGAATTTATTGATTTTTATGCATGGTAGAAGATCCTTGCATCCAAGGCTAGAAAATCCTTTCATTATTTCATTCAAAACTAAAAATCCGAAAGAAAAATTAATTTTGATAGATCCGGAAGAAAGTACATGTCAAACTGAGAACAATCCTATGGCCATGAAAAATTATTATATCTTTGATTCATTTCAACGAGCATCCAATATTAGAGTCCCATTAGCACCCAATGTTAAATTCGAAATAAATCCAAGAATTTTTCAAATGCTCCCTAATTTTCATGGATTGCCTTTAGAGGAACCTCATCAGCACTTAGAAAAATTTCATATGGTCTGTGATTTAGTTAATCTCCCTCAAGTTACACTAGAAATTATTAAGATGAAATTATTTCCTCATACACTTAGGGACAAAGCTAGCCATTGGCTATCCACATTAGATAGAGAATTAACTAGCTAGAAAGACATAGAACAAGTCTTTCTTCGAAAAATTTATCCTTTAGGAAAAACCCAAAAATATGAGAAAACATATATGGAGTTTTTCTCAAAGACCAGGAGAAATTTTACATGAGACATGAGAAACATTCAAAGATTTACTTAGAAAGTGTCCTCATCATGCTATACCCAAGTGGCAGCTCAATAGAATTTTTTATGATGGATTATTAGAACAACATAGAAATATGATTGATTCTATATGTGGAGGAGCTTTTATGGAGAAAACCCCTGATGAGATTTACAATCTTTATGAGAATTTAAGTGAAAATTCTAGAGATCGTCTCTTTTGAATTATATGACAGGGATAAGAAGAGAGAAATTTATGAATTGCATCATGATGATGATTCTAAATTTAGAAATGAGGTTAATCAGATTAATCAAAGATTAGAAAAACTTGATTTACTTATTGACAATATTAGAAAGCCTCTTAATCCTCAATTTAATTCAAATAGTACATGTCCTATGTATGGTGAAAATGATCATTTCGAATTTCAAAATCATCATAGGCAAGAACAATTGCAGTTACCTCATGATTTTAGTAAAAATAGGGAATATTTTTCTAATTCTTATCATCCTAATTGGGGGAATAATTTTTCGTAGAGAAACCCAAATAATATTCAAAATCCAGAAGCACTTAGATCCAATTCAAACTCTGAATTTCGTCCAAAACAAGAAAACAGATTTCAGAAAAATCAGCCCTCTCAAATCCAACCTGA